ATCAACTTCTGCTTTCCCAAACCGCAGTGATGCTTTGTGTGTGTGTGTGTGTGTGTGTGTGTGTGTGTGTGCACCAAGCACAGCAGGATTCTTCTTCTTCACATGACTGCCTCTGCCAAAGAGTTTTGTTTCCAACATGACACCCACCAGTTGTCAAAAAAGCAACAATTACTYCTACAGTTGAACTCTGAAAAGAGAGCAGATGAATGATGGACTGTGAATACAGCTGCTGTTCTCTGTTCCCACTTTTTAGTTCACATCCTCAAAACCGACATGTTAAAAACACTCATTCCTGTTCATTTGTTGTTTTGGCAAAATGTCTCCATTTTAAYGTAGATTTCAATGAAATTCTCAAAAAACTGATTTTGGATGTACTTTGTTACAGTACTTAAGTAATTTTTATGATAATCTGTAATTTTATCTAGTATTTTCTAAAATCGTAACTTAGACTTTTATTTTGTTACATTCAAAACATAAAAATGATACTTTTACTACTTTACTTTACAATTTAACACCTCGTTACACGCTACAATTCTAATGTAACCAGAACTCATCATAAAAGGAGGTGTTTATGCACTCAAAAAATGAAGTGTTGAATTGACTTAACCAAGATATGTCAACAATTTACTCAAGTCCTTTTACTCATCAACCGCAGGACAGATTTTAATGAAACTCAGGAAATAATAATTCATCAGCAGCTTATTAAATACAGTCAATCCAATTCAAGATGGCTAATCAATGCTAGTCACTTMAGATGTTATCATCCATTAAATGGACGTTATTAGTCGTTATCTGTCCCACAGAATGGCTCCAGACCGACTTCAGACTGTTCCGACTGTGCTGCCTAGTGGGTTCCCCATCCCATAAAATGGCTTCAGACCATCAGCTGGTGAGGCATAAARCCACTWARGTTTTTATGCAATCTGGTTAATATGAGGCGTAAAGCCACTGAGGTTAATTTTAGAGAAAATGGCATGGCCTRCGATAAAGTAGACCGGACTCCGGCAGTAGCAGATTGTTGCATTCCAATGTATATGGCACTGGTAACCCACTAGGGGACACTGTCGGGACAGTCTGAAGCCATTCTATGGGACTGATAACCACTAATAACATCCATTTAATGGACTGATAACATCCGAACCAGCTGCCACTAAAGTGGTTACAATGCAGTCAGTTTTACAGATTGAGCTATGTGGTGTGGTAGCTGAGAGTCATCCCCAACATGGTTTTGAGCACAATGAGATTGTRCAATATCAAATGAGATCCTGCACAATTATTTTGAGTTTCAACAAATACTATAAGRCAGCAGGTAATATGGATTCCTTTAAGGAATGCTAGACCAGGAGTGTCCAATCCTGTTCCTCGAGGGTCGCTGTTCTGCATAGTTTGCTTGTTTTCCTGCTCCAACACACCTGACTGAGTGATTGAATTATGTCTTCATGTTCTGCAGAAACCTGTTAATCACACATTTATTAAAATAATCCATGTTGAAGCAGAAAAACCTCGAAAACATGCAGGATAATGGCCCTYGAGGACCAGGACTGGACCCCGCCCCCATGCTAGACCTTTAATTTTACACTGGTTCTGGTGAGAACCAAGATTCCTAAASAGCTCACAGTATGCACAGAGCGTTTACTTAATGTTGATCCTCTTCAACTCCTGTTGAGCATTCGGGTTGCTAAAAATAGCGACACGTACGCAGAGAAGAGAAAGAAGCAAAGGTTGATGTACGGGGTAGAAGAGAGCGCGCCTGATCACAGAGGATACAAGAAAAACAAGTAAACGAAGCAATAAGACCATATTTTCATGGGACATCAGAGAGGGTGGATAAGGAATAAAGAGGAAGAGGATGAGGAGGAGGAGGTGTTTGGCACGCAGAGTGAGCTGCGTGACACAAGGGCACAACGTGAATGTTAAAACATAGAGGGAGAGAAGAGGAGTGATGAAGAAGGGAGAGATGAGGGAAACCTGGAGGAGGTGATGAATGTGGGAGAAGCTGGAGCGATGATGAATCCACCCATCTTCTGGGAGAAGAAGATGAAGAGAGTGGGAAGCTCCAGACTGCAACTCAGTGCGGTAAAAGCAATAACGTGAGGCAAAACTCCTTAACGTCTGTAAAAAACTGAACTTTAAGGAACACAGTGTGAAACTTCAGGAGGAAGTTAGCAGAGGCTTTAGAAAACTGAACGGATATGAAGAGACTTGCAGTACACGGGGGAAGAATTAAATTGCTGTTTTCACAATGTAATTTTGATACTTGCAGTGTTTTTTTTTTCCACTAATAACATCAAAACTTTGGTTTCAGCTTTTCAAGACATTCCCCTGAAGTAGAGTTTTAATACAGCTGTGGGTAAATCTGAAAGTGGAGTTTTGCTTTCCTAAGCCAGGTTCAGCTGTTGCCCAAATTCCAACATTACCGTACATTCTATTAATCTAAGCTCAGAGAAAAAAAACGATGTAGGTTTTGATATCCAAACTGTACAAGAAGTGTAAAGAAAACCAAAAACATAAGAAACAAAGCTGCTGCCAGTGGTTCGTCACAATGGTAACCACACATTTATGTCTGTCACTCCTTGTTTACTGAGTTAACGAGAGGTGGAAAATAACACGGACTGAAAAGTAAACCTCAAACAAACCGTTGCTGTGTGGAATTTACAAAACAGATTTTAAAAACTCGAACCACGAGTAGCAGATGTCTCTGGTGATCGAACGCGGGATTTTTAAACCGCTTACGGGGTTTTATTTAGGAGATATGACATATTTAAATGATCTGTTGCTTTCAGTTTTGAAGGGAATAATTGAAGCTACATTAAAACTATGGAAGCTTGGGTGTACACTGGGCAAAATCGTACTGTGCGCATTAAATCGTCAGTAAAACTATGAACAACTACTATTTGCCACTTTGCAATAACTGCAATTGATGCCATGTGATGATGGCGTATTTTTGTCTACAACACTTTTTCAACACTAATCCCACAATTTTGTTTAATCACCTGTCACATCGGCGTAAACCTGAGTTTGAGGAAAGCCAGAAAATGCGGACCAAGGCCACAATGTTGGCCACATGCCAGTGCAATTGTCATCTATGCCACAGTTAATCGTGATACATTTTTATGTCAATATCGCCCAAACCCTTGTGTGCACTCTCTGGGAGAATTTGAGGGGAAACGGCAAGTCCTTCAGCAGCGAGAGACGCAGTTTRTGAAGAAAGACAAAAAATGCCTACATGTTGATGTATAATTTGAATTTTGTGCCGAAAAGAGCTGGAGCGGGAACAGGTTGTTCGCAAAAGATTTAAAAACTTTAGACGGCTCAAAGGTGAGAGTGACATCATCAACAGTTGATTGAACTTTGCATGGAAAACGGTTGTTTTTGTGCATTAAAATACAGCACGTAAATCTTGATCAKGGTGTTTCAGTCCTTACTGGCATCATTAATAAAACTCGTAGAGAATATCTCCGATGACATTGGCTATGAGACACTGCAGACCTGAACGTATCGCCGCTTCATCACAAGTATCACAATGACAGACRCAGCGGAGGCTCAGACTTACACCCAGTTTAGATCAGATCTGACATTTGACTTGTGCAGCAAAACCAAAACAGGTGGAGAGAAGCCAAGGACGAGGTCTGAGCTGACACGAAAAGTTTGAACCTGCAGGCAAACACTCCTTGGAATGACATCAGTGGGTTGTCGGTTTGATGCTCAGATGTGAAAGCAGTTTTCTCCCTCAGAACGCTTCGGCTTATTCTCCACTTCAAATGTGTTCCCTTTAATTGTGCTGCTTCCCCCTCGCTCTGCGAATGCTGACAGAACAAGAGAACAGCTCAACCGTCAAATACCGGGAGCACACGTTCGTTTCTGCTAGACCCTCGTTTTTTTTATTTTATTTTTTTCTTTCAATAAATCAGTATCTTTAAGTTTTATTTAAAGCGGAGCAAGGTCATCAGTGACAGCACCCTGTTGCTTCACCTGCTGGGAGTGGTTGGATGACCTAAGATGTCGAGACAAAGAGAGAAACTGGGTCTCTCTGTGCTTTGGTTGCATTTGCAAAAGGAAGTGAGCGTGTTGATAAGCATCTCCATGTCCGACAGCTCTGTTCTCCTCTGTGCCATGATGAGGAGAGGGTTTGGTGTGGAACCACAAGGCCGGAAGTGAAATACGACTCTATCTGTGCCATGAGGATTTAATCTTATCTGCACATATTCAGACTTAAACACACACAGTCAGCAGGTTTGAATCACAGTTCCCAGTCAATTTCACTGGATCAATTGAGTCATTGAGTCTGTTGCATAACAGTAACTTAGTCACCAGCATGGCAGAGCTGAAGCTGAGTGGTACACTGCTGCTGAAGAGATGCACTGCCCACACTGTAGGAGGACAGAGTGGGCGACGGAGAGGCCTCCGATGGGTTGTAAATAGTTAATGCAGGAGTTCTGGCCGAGACCTAGAAACCACACTGAACCCCTCCTGCTGTGTAATTAATCACAATGAGCTGCAGGAGACAGCTGTTAATAAACGGCTGGCTCGGCAGAGGCARCGGACCGCTGGGCTCAGGGTTAGGGGGACGTGCAAACGAGCAGTGGGTGATTCACTTCTGGGTCCCTGACCGTGGGGATGTGCAAAGGTGCTGCCACAGAGACAGAAAATCCACTTTCTGGACCTCGATCCTGCAGCTCTGGAGCTCCGCTGACGGTCCTCGCTTCTCGGAGCAGAATAAAAGCTGAAATGTGCAAACAGCTGGCTCTGATTGAAAACATTTTAGACCAAACACTGCCCTATGATGAGCAGGCATTCTTTCAGAGTTACATAACCGCTGATAATGGAGCATCTAGAAAACACAGCATCAATATTTTTGGTGCTCCACAGCAAATTCAAACTTACACCCAGAAGTCCATCTAATCAAAGTTTAATGGCATAACTTCTTCATCAACATTTTTTTGTATCATGGATGTATGCTGGGACAATAAATAGCTCAAAGCTGGTTCTTCTTCTCATTTAAAAATAAAGAATAGTTGTTGTTTTGCTGTGAAGCACATCAAGGCCTCTTTCTGAGCACTGATAGATTTTATGAGATGAGCAGAATTGTGAAACACGCTCCAGGTCATAACGCCTGGTCAGGTGAGTTCATGTATTCATATAAGAACAGGGACATATCTCAGCCTGTGGATGATAATAAGCACACTTACCCCATTGTTGAGGTTGAAATGAAAAGCGACACCAGATCACTGTTCCCTCTTTTTTTTTCTTGTTTGTTTTGTCTTTTTTTTCCGTTTTCCTGTCAATCCAAACGAATTTTTCAAGCTGACTGCTGCGTATGAAGGTGTTTTTCCTCTCTACACCAGAGCCTCCAGTGTTTCACCCAGGGTGCGTCTGCAGGAATCTGATGACAGCTGCTCCATTTCTCCCTTTTTTTACCCCCCTCCTTACTCCTCTGTCACCGCATGAATTCACGCATACATGTCGCTCCGCACATGGCACGGTGATCCGCTCCTCCGCTCCTCTGGCCGTGTGCTGAAGGGGAGGATGATGATGGAAAGGAGGAGGAGGAGGATGGAGCAGCAGAAGCTCTGGGTTCGATCCAGCGCAGATGACGATGATGGAGGTCCGACAGACGCGCTGCTGTTGTCGTGTAAATTACAGATCCTCGTCGGGAAAAGGGTGGAGAAGGCTGGCTGGCTGAACTGGGAAAAAGACAACCCTCATTTAGAGAGCGGAGAACGCGCAGCATCACTGTCCACGTCTCTCCGCCTCCCCCCACCCCACCTCCTCACAGGCTACACCCCCCCCCACTCTCTCCCCCGTCCAGCCTGTTCCCTTTATTAGCTGAGCCACTAAAGTATTCCTCTGCGCTTCTGCAACATCCGCTTCGCTTTCACAATAAATTCCAATAATAKTATCAGCAATATCATGGATCAGATTATCCTGCGGTGATTTATTGATCTGAGCTCAACCAGTGCCATATTTGCACCCCCCCCCCTCCCAGTCCCATTAAAGTCCCACATCTGGATGATGCATCCCCCTCCTACTCACTTCATATCCGTATCGAACTGCCGACGTCACGRCACCGTCCTCCGCAGTGACGTCACTCGGCGCTCGAGGGACCGATGCCGTTCGATGCTTTTTATTGTTTAAAATAAGTTCGTCTAAAAGAAGCACAGAGCTGCCAGGGAAACTGAAGCACTGACAAATCAGAGGGGTTTTCACAATCAAAAAAATGCTGCTTTGTTAGTGAAGTGTATGGAGTCATCCTATGTGTCAATAAAGGAGTTGTTTGTTCTTAAATTAATGACTCAGCAATTCCTTATAAGGATGGGAAAAATTTTGCTAATCCTTACCTCACTTGTTAAAAACCGCTTTCAGTGGTAAACATGTTTGTGTGTCTTAAAATACATTTCAGGAGCAAACTCCTTTACCATAGAAGGAATGCMTGTAGGTTCATCCTGTTTTGTTTACTTCTGGGTGTGGTTGAAGGTTATAAGAAGAAGGGATGACTCAGAAAAAGTCTCTTAATTCGGTTCAGGCTGTTATTCTGAATAAACCTCACTGTTCAAGAATAACTTTTGTCTACAGAGTCATTTCTTTAAGCACTCCATCACTGCTGACGTTATGAAGACACAGAGGAAAGGTCATCATTAAAATACACTTCATAAGCCTATTAAAGTTTCAGCTTATGTAGGCAACAGAATTCCTATTAGTCATTATTAGCCTAGTTAAACTATTTTTATTTTCTTCTGAAAATATCACAATGATGAAGTGGGCTACCATATTTACCATAGTAGTAATATAAAAAAATCAGGAAAAACAATAGTGTGAATGCACCTGTGTTGTTCATATGACTGTGGATAACAGATAAAAGCTGTTGATAGCAGCCATAGTGATTTTACAGAACTTATTTGCTTCGTTGACCACATGCAAATCAACCATTCGGCTACAGTAGTCTCTTATTTTAGGTTTAATTTAAACAGTTTGAATCAAGAGTCACGTATAAATAAATGTATTGCATTCATTTCACTCCGCAGTAAAATTTAGTAAATCTGATGTTTTGACTTTTTGCTTCCTTATTTCAAATTCGGTGAATTTTCCCTTTAAACCAGAAAAGGACGCGTCCCCTTTAAATACAAAATGCTTACGTCATGACGTCAATGCGGAGGTTTGCGTGCAAATAACTTTTTTTTTTGTTTTGTTTACATGTGTGGTGAAAGCTATAGGTAAGTGGAAAGGAATATAAGGATTTATCTTTTAGAATAAAACGTTTTCAACATTTAGTGACACGTTATCATAGGTTAATATTTTTATATACTAACTCAAAAGCTGTTGTAACTTTTTTTCTACCCAAAAATGAATAACTGGCGGTCGCGCTGCTAGCTTGCTAACAGTAACACCGGTAAGTTTCGATGTCCTCGGCTGCTGTTTGTTGGAGGCTAGGATCAGTCATTTTGATAGCAACTTTCAGGCTATTCCTTTCTTGTATTTGAATCATGTTGTTTTGTTTTCATTCGGGTACCAGCCAAGTTGATGCCGGGGCTTCGTGAGGTAGCGCAGGATGTTTCAGCCGGACCACGCGACTCCGGGGTCAGCTTATAATAGCCTGAAGTCACCACAAGCACCCCTGCATTATAACCACCGTCATTCAGCCCCGGAAGTTGCTAACAGGTGAAATCACATGTTGAACTAGTAAACAAGAGACTGAAGACTGTTCTCTTTGGGTTCTTCAGACAAAGAAACACATTTTTGATGCCAGCAAATGCAGAAAGAAATAGGATGATGGTGAAAATCTTGTATCTTGAGATTTTTATTTTATGTGTAGTCGCCCTCTTGGATTATTGTTGCTGCTTTTTAGGATTTTTATGCTCGAAACTGAACTAATTCAAACTATTTTTATTTTTTATTTTTATCTATTTGTTTAAGAACTGTGTTCAAAAGATACAAAATAACCCCAAGTTTAATGGCTTTTTTTTGTTTTGTTTTAGAGCACGGAAACCCATTCAAACCAAAATAGGGAACTTAGGCAGAAAGAGAAGGTAAGAATATATAAGAGATTGCACTTGACGGATTTTGGGGGTGGGGGGGTGGGGGGGTATACAAAATCAACTTTTTTGAGCTTTGTGTCATKTTATAATGTCATTCCCTCATCCAATTCATACCCAGAGTGTTGTTTTGACTCCTTCATATATGTTTGAGAAATCCTTGAATCTCCTGTGGTAGCCACGTGGAGCTGCCTAAATGCTTGCTGGTACAAAGTACCACCTATTTCTATATAGCACCTCCCTGGCAGCAAAAGCTCACACCAGACACAAAGACATTGCCAAAAATGCTAAAAGACACAGAGTTTTTTCCCCTCACTTAGAAAGTGAGGGGGAAAAGGCACATTGCAATATTTACTAATATTATTGCCATTACAAGCTTTTTGAATACCATGCAGCCCTAGTATAGAATTGAGCYATGTGCCTTGAAATAAGCAGTACCCCCCATTTAAAGGTTTCTATCTGTATGCAGTTGTGTTTTGTGGCTCCACAAAGCACACCAGAAGACAGTGGAGACTGACAATCATTTATTCCTCACTTCCTCTGATTATTTTTGCTTTCTGAATATTTTTGTTTTTGTCAGCCACCATGATCCTGACATAGGGAGCTTACCTCGTTATGAATGGAAGACGCCACCACCCACCCCTACAGTTGTCCCTCCACAAACACCAACTATCACCAACAGGCTCAAGTACGACATGCATTCTTTAACGACTCAGCCGTTTTGTCTTGTGTTTCTAATACGTTAACTTTAGTTTTCTGAGCATTTCTCATGTTTTCGTATGTCTGATGTTTTTCTCAGGAGAAAAAAACCCAGCTATGATACTCATGTTGCGAAGCGCCAACACCTTGACTCCTCTCCCCATCCATCAACAGCCGCCCCTAATACTTGGTCCCCTCACCCCCMTCGTTATCCTGACCCAGCGGAGCCGTCGAGATCATTCCTTGAGGGTCTTGTTCACTTTTTTCCCAATCCACRCTTCTTTACCCCGCCACAGGTCCCAGAAAGCCCCAACGGTCTACAGGTGTTTGAAAAAGACAAGGTACATCCTGATTATACACTGCTCAAAAAAATAAAGGGAACACTTAAACAACGCACGCTAACTCCCGATCTTAATCAATGAAATATTTGCATTGAGTACTTTGTTCTGTACAGAGTTGAATGTGCTTCACTAAAGTTTGATTTACTTGGACTTAGCGTGCRTTGTTTAAGTGTTCCCTTTATTTTTTTGAGCAGTGTATATTAACCTGCAGCTGACCTTTACTGCATTTTCAGATATAATTTGGTTTAGTCAGYGCTAAATATATACATTTATTTGTGCACTCAGCTGAGTGATCAGATGTTGGAGCTGTTTGAGTCATGCAAGCAGCAGTTTTCAGATTTGGAACGGAAGGAGGTGTTGCGAAACCACCTGCAACAAGAGATACAGCAGTTGTATGCAGGTGTGTATTCAACAGACACTCATTAGTCTTGGTCTCATGTTCTCTTTTATATTTTAAACACATCTGTTTGCCACAGTGGCGCGGCTTTACATGACCGGATCTTCTATGAATGGACTGGGCTGTCGCAGCAGTGATGCTGATCTGTGTCTTGTCATCACGGGGAATGTAAGTTTGTACTGCTGTGTTCTGTTTCTTTTGTCCAACCAGTAAAATCCTACATATTTCTGAACATCTACTCTTCTTTTTTTTTTCTCCAGAAAAGGCCTGACCCTATTTCTGTCCTTAATCAACTCAAAAGGGCATTTGGAACCCTCCGTAAGTGGTTGCATAACTGGTTTTGCAAAACCAAAGATTTTAAACAATAAGCAGTCATTTTTAACAGTCAAAAATGCTGTTTTTTCCCATCTTAATTGCTATTTCTTGGATGGCTATTTGTTAAAAATGGGAAATATTGTGAACCTTTTTGAGTTCTTGTGTCATTTTTGTTTTTCACTTGTTGTGTTTTTCCACCTCCACCAGGTGGCGCTGTTTACTCAGTGGAAAAATAATCTCAGCTTTATAGAAAAAAAGAAACTCCTAAATCTTATAATGGATATTTTTGTTCTAGCCTACATTGAGGGGATTCAGCTGATAAAAGCTAAAGTACCAATTCTCAGGTTCAGAGAGAAAGGCAGGTAGGAGACAAACAGTCACTAAAGCTGTTTTTTAAAACAAATAACCTTAATTAAATACATGTTATGTGAATATTAGTCTCTGCTAACCTTCTCAGTGATCTGGAGTTTGATCTGAATATCAACAACACGGTGGGCATCAGAAACACATTCCTCCTGAAAAGTTACGCTAATGGTGAGTGAAGTGATCAAATGTTTGTTTTCATTTTAAATGAGGTGAAGTTTTGATTGTTTATTCTGTGAATGAGAAGTGCTCCTGTTAGGTTGGTACTGGTTTTGAGCTGCTGTGTGTGTGTGTGTTGCCTCTCTCAGCTGATCGCAGGATCAGACCCCTGATCCTTGTCATAAAGAAATGGGCACGACATCATCAGATCAACGACGCCAGCAAAGGAACGCTGAGCAGCTACACGCTGGTGCTGATGGTCCTCCACTACCTCCAGAGTCAGCGCCTTTAAATATCCAGGAGCATTTGTTTTTCATCCTGTCCTTACTTTTGTTCAGTCTCAGCTTTTATCTCGTGTTTTTTTTACCAGCTCTTCAAGAACCAGTCCTCCCATCTCTACAAAGGGATTTCCCAGTGAGTAGTTTGTAGTTTATTTTGGTATTTCTCATTAAAAATGTCTTAAGTACTGTATACCATTTTGCTGGGTCACTCAGTTTAAAGGCTTTGTACTTTTTTATTTTTTATAGCACTGTTTTAATCCCTCCATGAACATCGACATGGTTCCAGAAGGACCCAAACACATCCCTCCCTACATATCAAGAAACCAGTCCTCTCTGGGAGAGCTGCTGCTGGGTTTCCTCAGATATTACACCACACAGTTCAGGTACGTCCCAAAACCTTTCATCTTCATCGTTTCCAGTGCTGCAGAAGGGTTCATGTCTTCCTTTTTTTTTTAATTGCTCATTGCTCCGGTTGCTTGTATCTTCCTCTTCTCCCCAACTTGTTTCTTCCTCCAGAGGTCTTCCTTCTGTCCTCACCTTCCTCTGTGCTGCATCCTCCTCTCTGGTTTTATGTTTCTGGCTGAGGGGCAGCAGCAGGTGGGACCTCTGGCCTTACACAGCTGTGTTCCCTGTGTTTGCAGAATGTCTGATACTCAAATGTGCAGTGCCACTTTTGAAAAGCTGAACTAAGACCTGCTACACTGCCGTGTSTTATATAATCTATGAGGTGGTGTCAAAACGGGCCTCATAGTTTAGATATGAACATATTTTTTGTCCATCCTCAACAAAAAAATTGCACATTTTGCATTTAGCGTGAGTAATCAGTTCACAAACTGTTGCTGCTTGCCTCGTAATCACATGACTTTGGCAGTAAGTTCACTAAAGGTGTCTGTTTGCAATAAATGATCCTGCAGCTTTTCTTATTTACTGTGTGTTTTTTTTGTACATAGCTCCTTAAAAGTGTAATAATGCTAATGGTCTTTAAGGGGTTGGACGTTGTGCTTACTTTTTGACAAAAAGAAGACACTGGATAATGTTTTTGTTGTGTTTTATTTTTGCTTTAAAGTTGGGAAAAACAMGTGATCTCGGTACGAGAGGCCACAGCTTTACCCCGGACCAATTCTCTAGAGTGGAGAAACAAATTCATATGTGTGGAAGGTAAATATTTCAGCAGAAGGGTCTGTGTATTTGTCATCAGTTACTTTATTGAATTTACAGTATGACATGAAAAAATGGTTAATTTCTTAGGTTTTTCCTGGTATTTTTACAACATTAAAATTTTAAGTAGACTTAGAGGCTTTAAGTTTGAACATAGTTTCTCCTAAAGTATAACGCACTGAGTCAGCTGGACCACAAGAACAAACTGTGAAAATGTGAGTGTTTCTTGTATTGTAGTTGTGTTTGTGTTAGAAAAATAAGACAAGCATTTAAACACCGCAAAGATTTATTTAGTTTTTTGATAAAAGCACGTCACCCAGCATGGAACAAGTGGAACATTTGCTTTGAAAGTTGTCCCACACTGTGATGCAGCAAATATTTTGTTTCAGAGCCATTTGAGAGAAATAATGTCGCCCGGGCCGTTCACGAGAAGCTCAAGTTTGATCTCATTAAAGCTCAGTTTGCAGAGGTGCGTTCCCGTCACCGTGTCACACACTGCTCCTGTTTCAAACCACTCAGACCTGATGTTGCTCACAATCCTGTCTCTGATTGTCCAGTCATGCCGAAGACTGCACGTAATGAAGGACCTGAATTCCATCCTCCCGGTCAAAATCGTCATAAGCAAGGAGTTATCCAGGAGATAGGAGGTCCCTCCAGGATCCGTGTGAAGACTCTGGGTTGTGATGAGAGACCCTCTCACAGATAAACAGGCTCTTGGACTTCAAACTCGGGACGTTTGGGTCGCTGTCCTTGTTTCTTGTAGCAGATCTAGTAAAGACGTGTCTCTCAGTGACAAATGTTTTGGCTGTATGTGTAATTTATGTTGGTGCAGTCCCCCAAGATGGGAAGAAAATGTTTATTATTTCAGAAAACAGAGAGCTTTGAAAGCAATATCCTGTTAACGATGGTTGGGGAGAGATGCTGCTCTGAAGCAGGAGAATGTGCTTTTTTTTATTGCTGCTACACGACCTTCTTAATTTAAATATCTTCTCACACATTTAACTGGTTTAAATGGAACAGATAGCATTTATGTTTAAAAATCTAATCTCTGCTTTATTTATATCTGATCTGAGCCGCATCATTTCTCATCTATTATACTGTGGTGTAAAAACTACAGATTTTTTTTCTTTATAATTAAAGCTTCCCTGCTTTTCCGCTGTATTCAAACTAAGTTTTTCTGAAATCTGAGCTTGTTTTGTTCAGCTTAATAATTTAACTCAAAGACATCATTTGTTCAGATAATTGCTCTTTGTCTTCAGTGGCAGTCATTAATTAGATTAATTTCATCATTCCCCAAACTCCTTTCTTGTGCTTTGAAGAGTTTGAAAGTTTATTTTTCTTGCTCTCTTTCCTGGTTTTGTGTAATTTGAACTAAAGTCTCGACCACGCTAAAGGAGGTGCCAAAACGTGATTAAATTATAAACTTCTGATTGTCTTTTTGTCTGACCCATCTGTGTGTTCTCAATAATACTTGCTGACACACAGTCATTGCATTTTATTTTTTGAAAGTAAAAAAAGTGGCATGAACATCGGTATACATAAATAGTTAATTTTTCTCTGTCAGCATGAACATCTCAATTTCATAAAAGTATTTTGTTTTTCATTTTTACTTTTTATGTGTTTGTTCTAGCTCATTCACAAAAAAAACTCTTGCCAAACACCGGGATTAAGAAGTATTTCAATGAAACCACTTTTTTTACAAGTGTTTCCAGGTTTCATATTTTCTAACATTGACTCATTATTTACCATCACAGATGTTGACTTATGCAGCTGTATCAAAACATATTATTTCTCTACCTGACGATGTGTATATAAAAAACAGGTATTCTTAAACCGCTTTGCTTCAATTTATATTTAACAAGCTCTGCTCTAAGAAATAAAAGCATATTGTTCCCCTAAACTCATTTCTGTTTGATAGATTTTCAATTMCCCCCCCCCCCCCAAACTGAAAAGTGTTCCAGACTTTGTTACATTTAACAACCAAAACATATTTATTAATAGATCCACCAGAGGCTCTGAAACTGTTTTATCACATATGGTTGTATTCTGTAAATAATAAAATCCTTTAAAATGTTTGGCAAATTATTGTGTTTTTTTATTGTATATTTGTGAAYGTTAGGTTTATTAATAAAATGGGCATTTCTTCCTATTTTTTTCTGAGAAGGGATGAAAACTCTGGAAAAACATCTTTTTTTTTTACATTTTTGTTGCCTTTTCATTTCAAGAAAAAACTTCAACAATTTTCCTTTTTGATTTGATTTGATTTATTTATTTAACAGGAAAAGTTTATTAAAAATCAAGCCTGACTCAGCATAATTGCTGTTTTACAGCAGGTTCCTGTTCTGCAGCACATAAACACTCAGAATTACAGCATCACAATCACATCATTATACACCACAGACACAAAGACAAACAAGCATACCAAATTTCAGGAAGGCAGCATTTGCAAAATAGGACGTCTAAATATGAGCACAACAAAAAGTGCCCAGCAGATGGCAGACAAGATTCTTCAAGGGCTGTAGTTTTGAAATGGACTTTATGTTTTGAGGAATGTCATTCCATGCTTTAGTATAAACATAGAAGAAAGACCTCTGGCTGTAACAGTTTTTAAAAGTTGGTAATATCAGTTGTCCTTTTGTAACAGATCTAGTTGAATGACCACTTCCAGAATCTGATTTGTGCAGCAATGCACAGAGTTCTATAATTGGCACCTTGGAAGATCTGAAAATATATATTAATACCACTATACAAAACACAATTCTGAAAAGTCAAGGCATCAGACAATGAAAGAACTGTACAGTGATGAGTCCAACCAGGAAGTTTTTCATGAATTTTGTAGGCCCTGTTGTAGAGCCTAACTATGGGTTCTAAGATTTCATTTGTTGTAAGAGACCAAACAGGTAAACAGTACGACATGGTTCAGAGTATAATGGCATGAAGATAGATATTTGAAACAGAAGATGTCATATTATATTATTAATTTTGTCATTTGTTGTCATTCTTTGAATCTTTATAAATTGTGTTGCTGGCCTAAAATGCACACAATGTTGGCTTTTTAAAATAAAATAGCATTTTTAATGAAGAAATGGGAGAGTATTAGAGTTTGAGCTGCAGCCCATTTTAAAGTTGAAAGTTGAGCGTTTCCATCAGGAACACTTATTTTGACACTCAAAATCGTCGCAGAACTCAGATTTGAGTATGACTGGTGGAAATCTAGATGTCCTGTTCTCCTCAGCCTGGCTGTCCAGTACTCTTCCTGGTTTTTGTTTGGTGGTTTGACAGCTTGTTACACTGAGTTTTATGACTTCTGCTCAGTGCCAGCCCTGCTGAGGGGGGGTGATGGGGGCTGAATGCCTTACAAGATGTGTGCCTGGCTTTGACTAGTGTTGCCTCGCAGCTGCAGGGGAACCAGGGCGGGTTACTGTTTCAGCATAAGGCCTATTTTTAACTTGGGGGTTTTGAACTTAAAGCCACATCACTTCAGTTGTCCGATAACTACTGGCTCACACAAGAATGCACCATGATTAAGGTCTCCTCACATCTAATGATTCATTCTCAGGTTCACGTGATTGTCTCAACAGCTAATGACCATCTTTCTTATTTCTCTTATTCGCCCCCTCTTATCTCCACTCCCATTTTCACCTCCAACCCCCTCGCTCTATTTCTGTCCCTCGCTGAGTCAGATGCACAGCCCCTACTTTAGAATGACACAAACAGGCAGACCAATTCTCGATTCAGATTGACTGAACGCTAAAACACACAAAAAAACTCACCTCTGGAGACTAAAAACAGAAATGGAGGAATGTGAAAGTCTGGACTCGGAGATGACGGAGCTTCAGGRGTTGGCCTCAGATGCCATCAGCCAGGACGATGAAGATGAAGTGGAAGAGCTACACAACAGGTACTTCTTGTTTGGTTTTGCCCCAACAGTGGATCAAGAGGTTTCTTTTATTCTGAGGAAAGAACTCACTGAATGTTGATAAATGGATAAAAAACCTCTGGTGTTTGTTTTTTTTCACATTATTAACTTTCAAAGATAAAAAAAAAAGCATGAATGAAACATTTTGTGAATCCTTTCAACACATTAACTCACAGCAGAAAGTTCAGTTGTAATATTTATTGTCCCATGTTTTTAAGTATGCTTTAAATTTTTGCCATGGCATAAATAGTAGAAGACACTGATATGTTGGCTGTCTCAGGGAAAGCCAGGTATCTCCTCTCTAAGATTACTGGAATGACGCTTTGGGACGTCACCTTGCCGTAACTCAGCAAGGGTTGAGATGTATTCATAGCCTGGGGAACAGCTCTTAGAGCATTTAATCATTGGTTTTTTTAGCTCATGGCTCACACCGGCAGCCTGGTAGTTGTCACCTGGTCTAATTTTCGATTCAATTCAAATTCAAAAATACTTTTTTGATCCCAGAGGGAAATTAGGTGTTGAATAATAATATCGGGGATCTTCACTGCTCAAGTAATCCTCTTGAGAACCAGAGTTATGTGTTACCTTGTTTTCAGCTCAGAGTTGTTCGGCAGAGCAAATAACGTGTGAATGCAGGTCAACATGTTATCCCAGGATGTTTTGGTTTGATTCATTGGTTTGTTCCTTGCTTGCATTTCCAAGAGCCGTGCTAAAAAAAAGATCTCCTCTTGCTTTCAGGCTGTCCAGTAACTCCTTTCCTCTCCTTTGAAGSGACACCAACAGCCTGCTCTAACTCTGCTCGTTGATTTCTTCTTCAGCTTGCGTGAAGTCGTCCAGGACCCGTCGGTGAAGCCCAAGCTCCAGTGCCTCATGGTTGACCCGTCGTTCTCCATGGTGACGGTCCAAAGTGAGGACAGCGGTATCGTCTGGGAGACGGCTTCCAGCCGTTGTTCGACTCCCTGGGCCTCTGAGACCAGTTCCACTTCAGAAGCTTACAGCATGGAGGGCTCTGGGGGTGCAGGGAAGATCACGATCGTCTTTGAYGAGGAGAAGGTGGTCCGCAGGAGGACGAGGTCTGGAAGCAGGAGCAGCAGGTTGGGGGACTGGCTGAGCAGACCCGGCAGCTCTAGATCAGCTTCAGCTTTGGGAGTGGAGAGGCCGGAAATGGCGGAGGTTTCTCTTCCTAATGTCCAACAGGAGAAAACCACAACAGAGAGGGACTTGGAGGAAATAAAAAGTAAGGATCAGCAGTTGTTCAGTTTGATTTCTGAGGGTTATGAGATCCTGAACATTAGAGTCCCTTCCAAACTCCCCACTGTGGATGAGGAGGAGGCCACAGACCTGCAGGACAATTTGTCTTATCTGGACCAGACTCCCAAGATCAAGTCCCGAAACCAAAGTGACTGGACTGAATTCAAGGATCATGATCAGCCAAAGGGAGAGGAAATACACACTGAGGTAGGATTTATTTTTAAACACAGTTTGATTRACGTCATGGGTTTAAGTGTTTCAAATATCTTGAACTGAGTTGTTGATTTTGATCTCTCCACAGCCTTCAAAACAAAATACCTCCCAGCTGTCAGCAGACAAAGACAATGGAAGCAGAACCACGCAGAAAGACAATGCTAGTGATATTGACTACTTTGAAAATTTTACACTTTTGGATGTCGTGGCTCCGGGAGATCAAGCATCAGAGCTGCAGGAGGAGGAAGGTCAGCAGCCACCAACAAAACCCCAAACAGAGGAGCAAAAACCTGTGCTTGTGAAACACATGAGCACAGATAGCCCCTCTTTCACCGAGGACTCTTTTGAAGTAGTGACAGACGTGGAGATTGTTGGGGAACACCTAGATGAGGTCTTCTATGGAGAAGGACCCCCCGCTGATGTGCTGCAGCAGAGGGGAGACGGGGTGGGCGAAGCCAGGGTGAGAACAAGACGCGAGAGCCAGAGGTCCACGAAGGAGAGCGGCTCAGTGTTGTTCGCTTGTGAGGAGACCACTCTCACTCCCATTTTCATCTCCCCAGGACCTCCGAAGATCATTGACCCCATACTCCTGGAGGAGCCCAGAGCCATGTCCTTCATGTACTCGGACCTTTACGAGGATGCCGTTGGCGAGAGGAGGAGRAGCGATGAGGAATACTCCGAGGCGGGGAGCGTGACGTCTGAGAAGTCCTGTAAGAGGCGGTTCTCGGAYTCGGAGGAGACGGACGGGTACCTGGAGAAGTTCATTTTGAAAGACGAGACTCCAGCGGTGGATGTTCAGCCAGAGTTGGTGGATGACTCGAGTGAAGGGCGGATGGTTTGGCCGCAGGGGAAGTTTGAAATGACTGGCTCTTTAATAAGAGCACCTCAAGAGGAAGAAGCGGAGGAAAAGACAAAGAAAACAGAGGTGAAGAAGCAGGAGGCCAGTACTGGAGTGAGTGATGAGAAGAGGGAAGTTGTACCAAAAGCAGAAGAAACGGAAGAAATGCAACCCTCCATCGTGGCTCAGGAGCAAGCTGTGAGACAAACCTCAGGAGAATCAAACCAGCAGCTAAAACCAACAAAGGAGCAGATGGAGAAATGCAAACATGAGGTGAAAACAGATCAAACTGAGCTGCTGGAGCCAAAAACAGAAAGGCTACTTAAACCTCACCAGATGGAAATGAAAGCAGAAACAAGTGAGGAAAATCAGAGGAGCGAGGAAAACAAGCAACGCAGCCTTGACACAGAGCAGGCGTGTCAGACACACAAAATGTCCAAGGAGCCTCTGGTGACGTCACACATGGCAGCACCTGAAAGCAGAGAGGAGATACTCGAGTCTGAAACAGAAAACACTGAAAAGGGTCCGTCTAAAGAAACGGCCGCTCAATCAAAGATGGTGGCAACTGATCAGAAAGCAGCAACTCAGTCAGAACCAGAGGCCTCCGCTCAAGTGACACCTGAAAGCAAAACCTTYGTAAAACCCCTCGCAGAAACAAAGAGCTGCACCGAAACATGCCTGAGCGAGACAAAAGAAGCAGCTCCTGAAGAGGTTTTGGAGGTCATGGCTGACCGTAACCGCGATTGTGAGCTAAAGACSCAAGTTAAGACGGAGCTTCAGGATGCAGCAGAGGCAAAAACTGCAGCTCCTGAAGGAGAACAACTACAGAAGTCTTCACCACAGGAAGACGCTGCTGAGATCCTGAGTGAAACTGATCAGGACTCAGAGGTTAAAAGCAGAATTTTAAGTGACGTCATCCAACCTGCGATGCCTGAGGAAGTCAAAACAGAATCAGATGAGAAACCTCAACAACAGATTGACGATGAACAAAGAGTGACAGGAAGTGAATCCAATGAGTCAACACCAGAAACCAGTTCTAAAACACCCACAGAGCTCACTGAGGTTTGTGTTCAGGATGTTGTGAACGTTGGAGACGACTTCATCCTTCTTGTTCCAAAGGGACAAGCTGTAGAGATGGACATAGAGATTGGTCAGTGGACCGAGGCGACGGGAAAAGACACAATCTCGCCACCTGAACCTGATCATACTGAGAAAGTTCAGGCACCAGAGCSTCAAGCTGAAGAAGAACCAAAAGTTTTGGTTGAAGGACTTCCCAGCACTTATTTAGACAAAGAAGATTTACCACTGCTGCCTGAAGAAGACTCTGAGGAGCAGAAGATTGAAAGGGATTTAGAGGAGGACAAAGCCGTCATTTCTCCACTTAGGAGTTTCACTCCCCAGGAGGAGTTATCTGGGCTTCATATAACACAGTCAGAATGGGTAGACGAACAAATAAAGGTAGACATGTATGAGACAGAGGATGTACCAGAGGTAAATTTCCCTAAAGAGGATGCACCGTGTACCGATGAGCAGAGTGAAGATGCAGGACAACATACGGAGCGAGATGAGGCCGTTTTAGGTGCTCCAGATGAAACTGTTGCTCTGCTTGGATATGAAATGATATCTGAGCAGGAAGCACAAGACAGGCCAGAGGAAAGGATGGAGACGGAGACCGAGAAGGAGCAGAGGGAAGAGCTTTTTGGTGACGATGTCATCATTGAGGCTGATTATGAGATCATCGACGCAGAGGAGGAGAGTCAGGCCCGGCTGGCTGTTGAGCTGCAGGGTCTGGACTGGTTCTGCTCCACCTGTGAGTGTCTGCTGTCAGAGGATGAGTACATGTCGGAGGAGCACCGCAGCCATGAGGTGAAGTTGGTGGAAAAAGCCTACGAGGAAGTCAAGGTGAGGAGATGAAATGTAACAGGATATTGTTGTTTATTATCTCTGAATGTTTAGTAGATTTTTCCTGAAGCAAAATAGAAACAGACTGATGACAAACTGAAATCTAATTTTGGCACGTAAAACAATAAAGTAGTCTTGATATTATGACCCTTCCTTTCACCACAACAGGCTGGATGGATTGCAGCCWAAATGTCGACTTGTTWCAGCGCGCTCAGTGGAAAAGTCTGRCGTTGCTTCAGGAAGTAGAAAATAAAGTGATTTGTAAACACATACTGTTTTACAATAAAACCTCAAAAATATATACATGTATTCCAAAATATTTGGGAATGGTTAGCATTTAGGCTGCAAACACAAWGCAAAACCCTTAATACACAGAAACAGTGTGGATAAAGTTGAGACCTAAAATTTGTTTGTTATCCTCAGAAAGAAATCATTGAGAGATCAGAAAATATTAGATTCACCAGGAACAATCAAGGAAGAGATTTAAATTAATATTGCACTTAATTTAGTCAAATACTAAACCTGCAATGAAGAAGTTGGTGACATTTTTTAATACTTTATAATAAAGGTACCCTTATAAATTATTAAAAGTGACAAATGCAGTTGTTAACATTTATTAAACCAGTAAGCATTTATAATGCATTAATTAAAAGAACAATATCTTTCCAAATAGTGGGCCAACGTTTTTCTCGACTTCATGTTTTCTCTATTCTTCTTTTTTTAATGTTCTGATTTTAAGTATTTGTCAGTAAGTTATTCATGTAAGCACTTTGAACGTTTTGTTAATAAAATGTTTGTTTTGTCATCTAAAGTTATTCAGGTTTATAAAAGCAAGCTGAGCAACTATTATAGCAACATAGGACATTTTTATAAATGAGAGTTCAGCTTGTTTTATAAATGCTTATTAATCTTTTATAAAGTGTTTACAGAGTTACAACAATCCTATTATCCATCCATCCATCCATCCATTTTCTGTACACACTTCTTCCTTTTCAGGGTTGCGTGGGTCACTGGTGCCCATATCCAGCAGTCACAGTGCGAGGGGCGGGGTACACCCTGGACAGTCCTATAACAATCCTATTATTAAAGCGAAAATAAATCATTATGAAGCCTTATTGTGAACGGCCAATATTTTGAATCTTTTTATAAGTGCTTATAAAGAAAATTTAAAGTGTTTACAATCTAATAATAACCTAATTCTAATGAACGTCTTGAAAAGTGCATTCTTCTTCTATTTTCAAGCACAGCCCTCATTCAGTAGGCTTCTCACAAAAATATGTATTTGTTACAAAAACTTCCATTGATCTGATCAGTTTATTGTTGTTGTTCACCTTTAATTTTTGTAAATTTTAAGCTCAGCTACAACTTCTTTTTGATAAAAGAACGAGACGAAGCAGACGCTGTTGATTTTGGCTGCAACACTGAGAAGTATTTGTCATTTAAATTAGAGGAAAAACTGGGAAACGTGGCATTGGATGACACTGAGGCAGGCTCTGTGTTTTTGCCTGATGCTGTATTTATGTGAGATTCTGACAGCTGGACAGTAGAAAGATCAAAGGTTGACCTCAGCTCAGAGACGTGCAGCAGATTCAGATGCACCACATAGCCGGAAACTGATCCTGACAAGTAGGGATGTCCGATCCAGATTTTTTGGCTCTCGATACAATCCGATTTTTTTAATGATTAGTCTTTCCGATACCGATCCGATAACTTTGTTTTTTTATTTCTTTCCAAGTG